CGGTATGCTGGTTCAAGAGGAAACAAGGCTGAAGAATTAAGGAACCCACTCCATTAATCTTGTAGGCCATCAAGGAGCTGGAAAGAAAGGAAAGAAACATGAAAAAGTTAAGCAGAGGCAACATAATATCAATGAGTCCTCTTCTCAAGTACGTAAGAAGGAACACAAGAAAGGTAAGTGTCGTTTCTGTGGAAAACCCGGACACTTTCAGAAAGATTGCTTGAAACGTAAGGCATGGTTCGAGAAGAAAGGGATCCCTTACAACCCAGACCATAAATCGGAATGAAAGATTTGTGTACATGGGGAATAGAGTGAAGGCTCCAGTTGAAGTTGTCGGGACTTATCATTTAATCCTAGATACCGGGCATCACTTAGACTTATTTTAAACTTTTATGTACCTTCTCTTTCAAGAAATTTAATTTCCTTGTCTAAGTTAGATAAAGCTGGATATTTTTTAAATTTTGGCAATGGATGTTTCAGTTTGTTTAAGCATAATCATCTTATTGGTTCTGGTATTATTTGTGATAATCTCTACAAATTGAACCTTGATAATCTGTTTGCCGAAACCCTCCTAACTCTGCATCATAATGTTGGAACCAAACGTAGTTTGGTGAATGAACATTCAACTTGCTTGTGGCAACGTTTAGGTCACATATCCAAAGAAAGACTGGAAAGGCTAGTTAAGAATGAAATCCTTCCACATTTAGATTTTACGGACCTTAATATTTGTGTGGATTGTATTAAAGGAAAACAAACAAAACACACAAAGAAAAGAGCCACAAGAAGCACTCAGCTTCTTGAAATTATACACACTGATATATGTGGTCCTTTTGATGTCACTTCTTTCAGTAAGGAAAGATATTTTATCACCTTTATTGATGACTTTTCACGTTATGGATATGTCTATTTGTTGCATGAAAAATCTCAAGCAGTGAAAGCCTTAGAGGTATTTATTAATGAGGTTGAAAGACAACTAGACAGAAAGGTGAAAATAATCAGGTCAGACAGAGGTGGTGAGTATTATGGAAGATATGATGAAACTGGGCAACACCCTGGTCCATTTGCTAAATTCCTTGAAAAACGTGGCATATGTGCTCAATACTCAATGCCTGGCACTCCACAACAAAATGGCGTGGCTGAAAGGCGTAATCGTACATTAATGGACATGGTTAGGAGTATGTTGAGTAATTCATCTTTACCCATCTCATTGTGGATGTATGCATTAAGGACTGCCGTATACTTGCCAAATAGGGTTCATAGTAAAGCAGTCCCAAAGACTCCTTTTGAACTTTGGACTGGTAGGAAACCTAGTTTGAGGCACCTGCATGTTTGGGGTTGCCCGGCAGAAATAAGAATTTATAATCCACTTGAAAAGAAACTGGATTCAAGAACGATCAGTGGTTTCTTCATTGGTTATCCAGAAAAATTAAAAGGGTATAGATTTTACTGTCCAAATCATAGTACGAGAATAGTTGAAACTGGAAATGCTAGGTTCATTGAGAATGGTGAAAATAGTGGGAGTGAGGAACCACGTAATGTAGAAATTAAAGAAGTCAGGATGCAAGTTCCTCTACCCTGCACTTCTTCTAAACTTGTTGTTCCTGAAGTTGTTGTACAACGTAACAACCAGCAAGAACAACAAATAAATGATCCTACTACTAATAATGAAATTGCAGTTAATGAACCTACAGTAGATAAACCACAAGAAGTAGCATTAAGAAGGTCTCAAAGACAAAAGAGATCTGCTATTTCAGATGATTATTTAGTTTATCTACATGAGTCAGAAATTGACTTTGGAATTGCTAATGATCCAGTTTCATTTTCACAAGCCATTGACAGTAATAATTCTGATAAATGGTTAGATGCTATGAAAGATGAGTTGAAGTCTATGGAACAAAATAAATTTGGGACCTTGTTGAATTACCGGAAGGTTGCAAAAGAGTCGGGTGTAAATGGGTCTTTAAGACCAAACGCGACTCGAATGGCAACATTAAACGTCACAAGGCCAAACTTGTTACCAAAGGTTTCACTCAGAAAGATGGCATTGACTATAAAGAGACATTTTCACCGGTCTCTAGAAAGGATTCACTCGGAATTATAATGGCTTTAGTAGCTCATTATGATTTAGAGCTACATCAAATAGATGTAAAAACCGCTTTTTTAAATGGAAATTTAGAGGAAGAAGTTTATATGGATCAACCAGAGGGGTTTGCCATTAAAGGAAAGGAACACATGGTGTGTAAACTTAAGAAATCAATATACGGACTTAAACAAGCTTCCCGACAGTGGTATCTTAAATTTAACGAAACTGTTGTCACCTTTGGATTTAAAGAAAACACTGTTGATCGGTGTATATATCTGAAGGTCAGTGGGAGTAAGTTTATTATGTTAGTCTTGTATGTTGATGACATCTTGCTTGCTACTAATGATCTTGGTATGATGTATGACACCAAGAAATTCCTTTCTAATAACTTTGAGATGAAAGATATGGGAGAGGCATCCTATGTGATCGGGATAGAAATATTCCGAAATAGATCACTAGGATTATTGGGATTGTCTCAGAAAGCCTATATTAATAAAGTGTTAGAAAGATTTAGAATGGAAAAATGCTCATCAAGTCCCGTTCCAATTCAGAAAGGGGATAAATTTAGTCTCAATCAATGTCCAAAGAATGAATTGGAACGTATGCAAATGAAAGATATTCCTTATGCATCTATAGTTGGGAGCTTAATGTATGCCCAGACATGTACAAGACCAGACATCAGTTTTGCTGTTGGAATGCTGGGAAGATATCAAAGTAATCCAGGGATGGACCACTGGAAGGCTGCAAAGAAAGTGTTGCGTTACTTGCCAGGAACGAAAGATTATATGCTCACTTATAGAAGATCTGATCATCTTGACGTGATTGGATATTCAGATTCAGATTATGCTAGTTGTATAGATACAAGAAAATCTACATTTGGTTATTTGTTCCTGTTAGCCGGAGGAGCAATATCATGGAAGAGTGCGAAGCAGTCTGTCATAGCTGCGTCCACTATGGAAGCTGAATTTGTGGCATGCTTTGAGGCTACAGTTCAGGCTAATTGGCTGCGGAACTTTATTCAGGACTTGGACTAGTCGACAATATTGCCAGGCCGCTGAAAATTTATTGTGATAATTCCGCAGCAGTCTTTTTCTCTAAGAACGACAAGTATTCAAAGGGTGCTAAGCATATGGAAGTGAAATACTTTGCCGTCAAAGAAGAAGTCCAGGAAACATAAAGTGTCAATTGAACATATTAGCACTAAACTTATGATTGCCGATCCTTTGACGAAAGGATTACCACCCAAAATATTTGTTGAACATGTTGAAAGAATGGGCATTCTTAATAGCAATGTATGAATTTATCTAAAGACTTTATTATGTTTATGAAATTGACACTTTGAGCTCATTTAAACATATGTTTTTGGTATTCTATACCTGTTTTCTCTTGTATACATAATATTGAGAATAATGATGACAGGTTCAGGCTTAGATAAAGATATTCTAAGCATTAACGTTGGACCAATTAAGTATTACTTTTACATGTTGTATTGGGTAATAGACTGATATTGTAGTACATGGAAGGGACTATATCGAGTAAATGATATACAACCGCCATGACTCATATAAGTTTAGTTATTCAATAACAACGAGTGATGTTTCCAATGAATGAGAATTTAACATTTTATTGTGCACATAATGATTGAGATATTTATTAAACCATTAAGTGAGTAACATCACGTGCACCAAGTGGGAGAATGTAAAATATGGCTCACGTGAGTATTTTGGTTTAATATAAATATATTTTATTAAATTAATAATTGGATAAAATTAGGGGAAGTTAATTATGGTCATAACTCCCCATTAACCCACTTTGATGGAAAGTGGGGGAAGTTAATTATGGTTATAACTCCCCACTAACCCACTTTGATGGAAAGTGGGAATTAACTGATGGTCCCTCTCTCTGCCTATTAAAAGGAAGAATAGCGTACTCCATCGATTCTATTCTGAAAAGAACATAGAAAAGGAAAAGAGAGAGAAATACTGATTTTCTCAAGAACAGCAACTCTGAAGAAGACTTCCGCTCAATTTAATTAAGAAAACACATCATGGATTCAGGTAAGTTTTCTTAATTGAAGTTATTGTATCTCTATTTTATGTGAAAATCATATAGTTCCACGGTTCTGAATAATTGAAAGGATTTATATATATTGTTTATAAATCACAATCTAGAATTGAGAAAATCCTAACAGAAGGTTCCCCCGTTTCTTGAGCAACTATTTCGAGTGCAGGAGAAAAGAAAAATGAAAGTAGTAGTGAAGTGTCGGTACGGAGTTGCGTCACCTATGGACATAGACTAGGGGATGAAGCTCCGAAGCAGGAGCTAGCCTTCAAACGCGCATCTGTCATGGAGAGGCAATCCTCAAATGCGTACTTTGACCTGACGGCTTACCCGTTCTATAAGAGAACGGTTCAACTCGTTAGGCGGTCTGGCGCATTATTCACTGCGCTTTATTTAAAGCAGTGTGCGTCATCCGGGGTGATAAAAAAGGTTCCCCGTCCGTTAAACCGTTAACTCAATACCAATAAGTCATTAAGCTTCGGTTTCGGTTCGGTTTTGAACACCCCTAAAACTATTCATATCCATCCCATTTAAACTTGGACGAGTTGGGCATTTACTAAAAAGAGATTGATTATGCCATCTCCAATGCAAACTTAACTACCAATTAACGTAAATAATGTAATCCAACAAAAGAAGGTCGCCCTTTGATAGGTCCTCAACCAACCAATTAAAGAGAGAAGGCATCGGGCTCGTGATCTGTGAAGACCTTGTTCTTCATTTCTTCTGCTTCAATAAGTCAATGATCTCATTTTCAATCCAGTGCATATTCACGAGATGTAAATGCATTATGCTAAAATAGAAGACTTTTACTTTGTTTTCTCCATTTTCCTTAATTCCCCACCTCAATTTCACCAAACAAGACTCCGTGAATTCCCATTGGAAACTTCACCAGCTTTTCCTTAGCTATATTTTGGAGTACTATTTAGCAGTTGAAAGTAGGCATTTTAATGTCATCTTAAGTTTTGTGATGGGCAGTGGCCTATTATTTTCTTTGCTTTCTCTTGTTGAATTTTTATCCAGTTATTCATGGCAAACTTTCGCTGCTCCATTGAGATGGAGCCTAAGACATTGAATCAAGGTCAACTTAACCTCGCTCGAGTAATGCCTCCAATATAATCTCTAGTTTAATTTGTTTGACCCTTCCGATCCGTTTTTCATAGCACCATGCCTTATTTACTTGTTATTGTTATTGCATGTCATTTATTTTCTGGTTCTTAGGTTGCTGTTATTATTTCTATGGTTTCTGTTGACGGTACCGATATGTTGTTTCTTCTCGTCTTTTCTGTCTTCTTGAGCCGAGGGTCTATTAGAAACAGCCTCTCTACCCCATCGGGGTAGGGGTAAGGTCTGCGTACACACTACCCTCCCAAGACACCACTTGTATAATTTTACTGGATCGTTGTTGTTGTTATATTCTTTCACCATCATTCTTCTAATTTCTTGAGCTAGTTGAGAATATGTTATGTTATGATAATAATGCAGGAAGTTGCTGTTGACATAGTGCAGAATACAGAATCGGACGAAGCATCAAATATATTTGTAGAGGTCTGCAGCTATCACATATATATGCTTTGCTCTTGCTAATTTAAACAATGTAATAGTTGTGCTTAGACATGCTAGCGGATGGACATAGGCATATTTAGGACGGGTTTTATTGGTTTAACTAAAATTATTGCTTTTAACTCGAACAAAAGTAAACTATATATATGTTCGATAAATAAGATTACATTCATTCTGAACTCATTGACTCATCCTAAATTTTCTTCTGCCCCATAGCTGGGGTGGGGTGTGTGGGAGGGGGGGGGGGTTATGGGGTAATGCACCTGCATCAGTTGACTCAAGCTAATACGTATATATAGTGGCTGCAGCGATATTTCACGTTACTTAAGAGTTTAAATTTGTGATTGCTTACGTCGGCTTTTCTAACGAGAGTTCTTTCTTGTTTTCTGCCTCTGGGATTTCAAAATGCAAATGTACCATAGGGAAGAAAGGCAGTTATTGAAATAAAGAAGGCGCTAATGCTAATTGAGGAAGCACATTTAGTCGAAAACTGCAAAGAAGAACAAGTAACGAAGACAAACGTGGTGATAGAGGCATCTTGCCAATGCTCGTGTCCTTCAGCAATAATTGACTCGCCTGATCAATCTAAGCTTAAGGAACCACTCTCTGCTCCCTTTTGAAACTTCACTACAACAATACTTACGCCTCAATCCCAAACAAATTAGAGTCACTAGCTATCTCGAAATAAAAATGCAACATTTTAATTTGCTGCACATATATCAGCTTCTCTTTGCTTTTACCAGTACTGTAACGTTTTTTTTGATCCGTTCCGTTGGCATTCAAGTGTTCACAGTATATTTTGGATTTTAGCTTTGTTCACTAACAATGTATAAGATGATTATAAAATTTATATTCCATTGCCTCAATTGCAGTAGCCAGTACGTAGTTGTTCATTTACCAACTTTTCAAAGTAGAGCATTCCTTTAATCTTTTCGACTATTGTTGGTGGATTAAGGAACCTTTTAGCCGATAATTTTGTGATTAAACAAAATTTGAGTGAAAAGGCCAAAATAATTTCCCTGTCGGTTGATTGATTCAACCATTTACCAAGTGATCTTAATATTCTTGTTTTCTTTGGGAAATTAATAAATTTCACGAAATTACTTCATCCAACTAATAGTATCTCTATGTGTCAATTTTGTGAATTTGCACGAGAGGAATGAGATGAAGAACACAAGAAGAGTAGATCAGAGAGAGAGTTGAGAGAAAAGGATCTCATTTTCTGTTATCTTCCAAAATACTATACACCTATAGTTATATCACCAAAATAACTGACTAACTACAATCTAACTACAATATTAACACCTAACTATAGTTACTACTAATCTAACTATGGTTAAATTAAGCCTATACAACATTAACCTGGGTCATGACATGTATCACATATCTCATTACCCCACCCCCCCCCCCCCCCCAACCTCAAGCTAGGACTAATAAAGATGTTCTTGAGGCCTAGCTTGGACAGTTTGTGACTGTGCTGAATACTACTCAAGCCCTTGGTCAAGATATCAGCAGACCTCAAGTAGACTGTTTGAACCAAGCCTAAATGAATTTTCTGGCGGATGAAGTGACAATCAATATCAATATGTTTCAAACGTTCATGGAACATAGGATTGGCAGCAATTTGTATTCCTGATTTACTGTCACAATGAAGGGGAACTGACAATGTGAGAGTAACCCCCAACTCATCAAATAAACCAACAAGCCACACAATCTCAGCCACTGTGGATGCTAGGCTACGTGATAGAATCCATCGGATCTTCTACTGTAAATGACATGCAAAATGAGAGAAGGTGAAATTGAGAGAGAAAGGAAGAAGAAGAAGTGGTATTGTTCGATTGATTTCAATTACAGAGGGAAGGGGTTGTTTATATTGTTGGTTAGTGGTTGACAGTTGTACCTCTTAACCACTTAACCGACCATCCTCTTCTAATTACACAATGTGAGCACATGATTTTTGCCCTATACAAACTACTCCTATAAAATCCCAAGAAAATAGATATTTCTTAATTATTTGCCATTTTAAGGAATTTTTGTAGAATTTTATTGATTGTTTGCATTTTTTTGCACATTTAATTTTTGTTAAAATCATGAAAAAGGCCAAAAATACCATGCATTGCATTTAGGTTTTGTTTTTACATTTTTAGGGTTAATTGGTTAATTATTTATTTTATTGAAACGAAAATCACAAAAAATGGCCCATTTTACATTTTACCTTTTTAGATTATTGATTTTTCTCTTTTAACTTAGGATTAAATGATTTTTGTAATTTTGTAATTAGGTAATTAGTTTAATTTCGTAATTTAGATTAATTTAGGATTTTTAATTTAAAAAAAAGAAAGAAAAGAAAAAAAAAGAGAATAAAAGAGGTAATCGAAAAGAGGGCTTTTTAATCGAAATTGGGCTGCCCCATACCCAAAATCCAATCCCAAAACTGCCCAAAAAACCCAGGCCCAAAATAGCTAACCCGGTCCAGGTCTCCCCATCCCCAAAACGACCCCGTTTCACTTCATTTTCATCACAGCCGTTGGATTTCCAACGGCCCGGACTGGTCACTCAATTAATATATAAGTGTCCGAAAATTGTTCCCCCCCCCCCCCTCAGTCCAAACCCTCCTGTTCGTCTCTAACACCCTTAACTCCAGAAACCCTAGCCGCCTTCATATCCTTCGCCGCCTCCGCCATCAAACACCCACCGGAAATCGCCTCACGGCGGTTCCGGTGTCCCAAACACCACCAGTTTAACACCACAGAACCTCCATCACCTCCTCGTTCCAAATCTCCCATTCGTTTCTTTCAAATCACCACCAAGAATCTCGAATTTCAAATCCGAGATCCATGCCCAAAAACCCTAGGTGTTCCAAATCGCCCCAAATTAACACCCTATAACCCTTGCACCCCTCTGAACCCTAAACCACCTTCAATCCTTTTCAAATCAGTCCCCAATTTCTCGAATTTTAGATCTAAAAAAGCCAAGCCCTAATTTTTCATACTTCTCTGATTTTTGGTCAATCTCGGAAGGGTTGAATCTAAAACTTCCATTAGTCGACTGTTCTTGTTTAGAACAGTCGACTAATGTTAGTTCAAGTTCACATCACCTTGCTGAAATTTGGTCAAAGTTCGTAGCTGGTCCAGTTTTATTTTTAAAAAAATGAACATAGGTAACTTCTTGCACTTTCTTTTTACTTTTCATTATTCTTTTCTTCTTTCTTTGTTGATTCCTCCGCTTGGTTAATTGTTTCTGATTTAGCCGCATAATCTAGGTTCTACTTTCTTTGACTGTTAGTTTCATTATTTGCATGTGTTATTAGAGTAATTGAAACATGTTTAGGTTCAAGTTTTAACTAGGGTTTGATATTTTGTTTGCTCTGTCTTTGCCATCAGTTTTGGTTTGAATTCAGTGTTATTAAGGTTATTTATATAAGTAGTTTTTCGTTTATTAATTGGTTTAGTTTTAGGTTTAATTTGTATCATCATGTTTCTATTTCAGCATTTTGATTTGGGTTCTTGATACTTTCTGGTTTTATCTTTGTTTGTCCTGATTTGAAATTCAGTAGAAATTATAGGAGTTAAGTGAACAAATGGAAACTTAAGGGGGTCATAAAGGGTTAAATGATTCTGAAATCAGATAAAATTTATGTTGGAATGTTCTAGAATGGGGGCAGCTGACCTCATTTGCTTAGCACAAAATGTTGAAACCAATGAGGTAAAGCCAGTTGTCCAAGTTTGTTAAAAGATGCCTTGTGGCTGAAGGGAATAATTCCCTTATCTTTTTTCAGCACATGACACTCTTTAGGGCTATACATAGAACCCTTCCCTCACTCCCAAAAACAGATTTTCTGAACCCTAGAAAAGACTAAAAGAAAGTTCTGCATTGTTTAGCTAAAACTCTTCTAATTTTCACAAGAAAAACTAGAAGAAATTCTTTGAAGTTTTCGAATTCCAAAAGGGTTGAAGCATGGTTTGATTGTGGGAGCCGTGTTTGTTGTTGCTGGTTTTCTATTTGCTTCCATTGCTGCTGACTTCGGGATCTTTTTCTTTCTATTTGCTGTATTCAAGTATTCCCCATGAGCTTTGAAATGCAAAAGTGAACAACATAATGTTTGGTCTGAAGTTGAAAATTTCAGGAATTATTTGGTTTAATGTCTTCTGGTTCTCCTTTCTTCTGCTTGTAGTTTGCTTGCCAACTGTTTGGGTTTGCTTAGAAATGATATTGTAGTTTATAACTCATTCATATTGTTAAGCCTGAAAAATAGAGTCATTTTATTATTTCATGAAGATCTGAACAGCTTTGCTATACACAGGGATTGTAATATTTGGGAACTGTCTCAGAACTGTTAATCACATGTTATTTGTATGTGTTTGAATGAAGCCCTCAGCTGAAGTTAATGTTATTAGTATCTGGTCAGCTCATACAATAAGTGTTTTGTTAGAGTAACTCGCATATGTAAGCTGGTATATTTGGATAAATTTTTTTTAAAAGAAAAAACCATGTTGTTAGTGTCATCCTCAAAAGCAAGTCATAAAGGTTAATTGTATAATTTGGGTAGCTATGTGTCTGTTGCTCGGAATTGCTATGTTGTTAGTTGTAGAGGCTGAATTTCAGAAGGTCTTAATGCTGAAGAATTTTTAAGGACTGCTAGGCCTAACTCTGACCCAAGAAAGGCAGCACACGACCAGGTTTGGTCTGCTTTTGTTTTGGGCTCAATTTGGGGCCCAATAGTCTTTGGCCTTAGCCTTTTTTCTTAGTTAATGTTAACTCAATAAGAAAAGGATTTCAATGTGAGTTTGATTCAAAGTTTAAATCAATTTCACTGTTGAATTCCGCTTAGTAAGCTATTGATATGTTTAGAACGGTCTTTAGATGTTGGGAATTTGTTTTAAAAAAGAGTTGGGCTCAATGATAGCCCAATTGAATCCGCCAAATCATGTATGCTTTATTCCCTCCCTCCACCCATTCTCTTGGGCTTGGTTTCAGCCCAGTTCCCAACATGAGCCCTAAACCCTCTTGCTAATAATTGTGCGCTTTTATATTTTCGCAAGTATGAATGTCATTCAGCCCTGATTAAATGTAACTCTTTAGTTGTATAAGAGGTGTGCCATCCTAATTAGATCACCTATGGCCCTCGCAAATTAGATATTAGGAATTAATATTCGTAGCAATGCTTTAGGCGCACTTTTAATCTACTGTCGTGATTGTGTACACGTTCGCGTGACATAGTTACGACTCTAAAAACCAAATCGGAGTATGCGTTTGCGCAACTTCGTCCAACTTTCCTAATAATAAATTTGTTACTAATATAGTTTCGCTTTAATTAAATGTAGTTCTCTAGGCCGAGGTGTGCCATTCATAATTGAATCCCTATGGTCCTCATATTAATTTTACGACTTAGATATTTAAAATGATATTCGTAGTTTGCTTTAGGCACGTTCAATATACCATCGTGGTTGTGTACGCGTTCGCGTGACATAATTACGATTCTAAAAAAAACCGGAGTATGCGTTCGCGCAACTTTGGCCAAACTTTCTTAATAATAATAAGGCGTTATTAATTGTGGACACGTTCGCGTGACATGATTTTGACGCACCAAACAAACGGGTACACGTGCGCGTGACCTGTTTTAAGATAATTTCTTAATTAAAAGGCAAATGCACATAGGTTCTAAAATCAGTAATTAAACAATTTAATTTAGCCAAGTATGATCAAAGCGACCGTGCTAGAACCACGGAACTCGGGAGTGCCTAACACCTTCTCCCGGGTTAACAGAATTCCTTACTCGGATTTCTGTGTTTCGCAGACATTATAACAGAGTCAAATCTCCTCGATTCGAAGTTCTAAACCGGTGAGTTGAGACACCGTAAACTAT